CTGTGTTCTCAAGCTGGCGAGAAGCATGCCAAGCACGTGGCTCCGAGGCACTGGGCCCCCGACTGGTGTGTGCCTCTCTCTTCCTAAGGCTCCTATGCCCTGCTATCTTGGCACCCAGCCTCTTTGGCCTGGCACCAGAGCACCCGGCCCCAGGCCCAGCCCGAACCCTTACACTCATCGCCAAGGTCATCCAGAATCTTGCCAACCGTGCTCCGTAGGTTCTGGGAGAATGTGGGGGTGATGACGGGACCAGGGAATAGGGAGTTGGCAGGTGTCTGTCATGACTCAACCAGTTTGGCTCCAACGCAGGTTTGGTGAGAAGGAAGCCTACATGGCCTTTATGAATAGCTTCCTGGAAGATCATGGACCAGCCATGCAACACTTCCTGGACCAAGTGGCCGTGGTGGATGCAAATGCCACACCCAGTGGCTACCAGGGCAGTGGAGACCTGGCCCTCCAGTTGGCAGTTCTTCATGTCCAGCTCTGCACAATCTTTGCTGAACTTGACCAGGTGTGGCCTGAATCCCAACCCTAAATGTAGGGTAGAAAGGCAAGAAGGCTGGGAAGCGTTGGTGCCAGAGAGTTCACAGGGTGTCTTCCTTGTATGCCTTGACAGACAACCCAAGATAGCTTGGAACCACTGCCCACCATTCTTCGAGCCATAGAAGAGGGCCGTCCTGTACCAGTGTCTGTGCCAATGCGTCTTCCCCAGATCCCCACCCAGGTTCATTCCAGGTAACCCCAAGTCTGGCCTAGGTTCTCGTGGGTGGCAGGAGGGGTTTTTATGTTAAGATTAATAATGCCAGAATCATGTTGGGATCAAAGGTCAGAGGCTGCAGAAGGCATAATGTAAGAAGACAGGCAGGGAACGGGCTCACTAGGTGGTCAAAGAGTAAATCTTCACAGACTCAGATAGAGTCCAAGATTGGGACAGAGTCCTGTCAGAGATCAACAAAGAGTCACCTCCAGGGACAGAGAAAGTAGCCCTGGGGTGGGGGAGATGAAGGCCATGAGTCAGAGGTTGTGGATGGGGTCAAATCTTAGAAACAAGATACTACAAAGGTCAGAGAAGCGAAGATCAAGCTTAGGGCTCAGGACAAATAGGGCTAGTCAAGGGGCCCAAGTCAGAGTCAAAGCTAGAGAGGGAGAAAATATTAAATTGGGATGGAAGTCAGAAGTTAAGGATAGTTTCTCAGCAAAGTCATAGGTCAAAGTGTGGTCCTAAGAGATAGTTATACTGATGTAAAAAGTGGGGTCATTTCTGGCTTTAGGCTGGGGTAGCGTCATCTCCAGGATCAATTGAGGGTCTGAACTTCCACATCCCACCTCCAGCTTCTCTTCAGGGGAGAAACCCGGTTTTCTGCCACCTCGAGACCTCCCCAAGCACACCCCTCTCATTTCCAAGAGCCAATCTCTGCGCAGCTTTCAAGGGGCAGGGAGCTGGGCCCGTCGGCGGCCAGATGAGGAACGGTCCCAGCAGCGGCCCCGGCAGGTGCAGCGCACACAGAGCGTCCCTGCCAGACGGCCTGCCCGCCGCCGCCCTTCTGCAGGTCCCAGGCCAAGACTCAAAGACTCACTACGCACTGGTCCCGTGCCATGCGGACGGGCCTGGACTGGAGCTTCTGCCTCGCTGCCTCGAAAGCCGTCGGTGCCATGGCAGCGCCAGCTGGATCAGCCTGGGGACAGATACCAAGCTTTGGGAACGCATCGACCGGTGGGCAAGGTGACATCCCGCCCAAATCCTAGCCTGGGCGTGGGGCAGCCGCGGATAGAAATGGAACTGAGAAAAGACCTTAGTACTCGTCTAATTGACTCTGAGACTCTCCCCCTCCTCCCATTCCCGGCCCCCGAGGCCATACAAGTTCTCTATCAGAGTAGAAAGGTGTTACCATGAGGAAGGGACCTGGGGATGGGTCAGATTACAGCTCCTATCTCCCCACAGCTGGCAGAGATACAGTGCGAGGTGGCTGCACTCCGCGAGGAACAGAAAGCTCTGTCCCGTCTTGTGGAGTCGCTTAGTACCCACATCCAGGCCTTGACGGAGCAGCAGGAGCAGCTGCGCTGTCAGCTGCAGGATCTGGACTCCAGATTGGGAGCTGGGTGAGTCTCTGCCTCTTCCTCAGGGCCGCCAAATCTCACCCAGAAAGTCCCTCCCCACAGGCCCCAGCCACAGCTTCTAACTGCTCCAACCCGTAGGTGAGCAACCTCCAAGTCACCAGCCCTGGCCCCAGCAGCCTCTCTCACACCTGTCTTTGACTGGTGCTTTTACTTACCTTCAACCAGTTCCTCTTAACCCGATTGGACCGTCTTGGCCCTTCCCACCCATTGGTCAGTCTCCACCTTCAAATGGTGATTGATTAATTATTCTATCTTTTTGTCTCCCTCCGTTTTTTTTTTCCTTCTGCGAAGCAAGATTTAGCTATGTAGCCCAAGCTAACCGCGAACTCTCAGTCCTCTTGCCTTATCCCCTGAGTGCTACAGTTCCAGGGTTGCACCACTTGGCTAGTCTTCACATCTTAGCTATGACAAGCTCTGAGCCAGACCCTGCTTCCGATACACTCTGCTCTCTGGTCTGAACAAACCCCAGCTCTACTCCAAGCCCCAATCACTGGATGGATTCTTGGCTGTCCATCCAGGATGAAAGGGATTTTCTCAGCTTTTGACCTTCCCCCTGTCTTGCCTCTGACCCCCACAGGATCTCAAAGTTGGATTCTGAGAGTAGTCTTCCAAGCAATGGAAGCCACAGGCTGAAAAGTCTGGTAAGATTCTTGCCTGAGATCGGAGGGGAGTGGGAAATCTGTTTGGTGAACACCCCCACCTCAACTCCAAACTCACTTCCATTACCTCCCCAGGAGCACCGCCTGACTGAGATGGAATGTACTCAGAACCAACTGAGGGATACCCTCCACAGCCTACAGCTTCTTTCAAGGACACCAGGATCCCGGAGCCAGCCCCCGCCTCTCAAAACGCCATGTGTCAATGGGGCTGAGCTGTCAATGGGCACCTGAGTTTCTCATTCCACTCCACGTGGTCTGGAAGCCAAGAGAGCCTCAGCCCTTCATGGTCATTAGTGGAGGCAGAGTGGGATACTGTGAGGTTGTCCAGTAAATCTTCATCTCAGTAAAATTCTGCCCCTACAAATGATTAATCGGAGATCATTCCTAGTTCTCCATCTCTCCCAAATTCTTACCTGGTTTGAAGCGTCCCAAAGATGGGAGTAATAAGCAGACTCTCACCATTGCTGTGACCTAAGCCATTACTCTAGGAGATTCCATTCTCTCATCTGTGAAATGTATCCAAAATTCTCTACAGAGTGCACAACTCCTAGTTAAAGGTATTCAATAAAAGGTATTAATCACTATTATGGGAAGCGCGTGCTTTTCAGCGAAGCACAGACCTTCCACCCTCCTCATCCTCTATCAGTATCTCAGGCCCCACAAGTGATAGAATCTTTCTAGATTCCAAATCACAATCCAGGCATGGAGGCAAATGAAGGAAGGGAGCGTAAGGGGAGAATACAGTTGAGTTCTGAGGCTGGTTGAGTAAATGGGCAGGCATTTGACTCATGGATAAAAGGGTAAGATAGATGAAACAGTAGGCAGATGACTAGATTAGCATCCACTGAATGTTTGACCTGGTAGATGTGTAAGGCAGGTCACTAATCATAATAGGTAGGTCCACTTAGAGAAGACTGACTCGTAATAGGAAACTAATACTTGAACTAAATGAGTAACCAAATGTACACACCACACACACACACACACACACGCACATCTCACATTTATTGAGGTTTTGGGGGACTCCCAAATGAGCCATGGGAGAACAATAAAGTATATGGACATGAACTCCTGTCTTCTTCGCTTGGAGAAGACAGGTACACAGTCGATGGACGATTGTATGGGTGGATGCTGTAGGATTGTTGAATCCCTTTATTATATGAATAAATAGATATTTGGTTGCTGAGGCAATGGGTTGGTACATGGGTTATGGGTGGATAGGTTAAGTGCATTTTTGGTTAGATGAATAGGTGTTTAGAGGGATGGATGGATGGATGGATGGATAGGTGATTTGATTATTGAGTTGTTGAGTGGTTGATAGATTGAGCACGTGGATAAACGGGTGGACAACTGGTGATGAGTGGGAGAACACACAGCTTGTGATGTGTGTATATGAGCTATTCTGGTGGCTGAGATCTTGAAGACTAGGTGAAGGAGAGCTTAGCCTTCGAGACGGACATAAAGTAGTTCTAGGGTCTTGGAGATGTTGAAGCCCAATGTAAACAATGAAGAAAGACCAGGGACCACGTGGTTAGAAGAGACTGGAAGCTAAAGACTGTCTGGGTGGGGTCCTCAATGATCTAAGAATGACCCAAGGGAAAACTTCTCTGTTTCCTTTCCACTCCTCTGGTGTTACTAACAAACCTGGTGTAGGAAGAACCAGTGGGGTGCAGAAAGACAAGATCTTGTTAAGGTAACAGAGCCCCTCCCTACACGCTCAGGTCCTGAGGACTCTTTAAGAGTGACCTGCTTGGCCACTCCCAATATGGCGGCGCGCCCGTTGGACCCCCCCCCCCGGAGTGGCACAAGGGGGGGCAGACCTCCTCATCATGGCGGCGCGGCGGGGCTGTCGCGCTGAGGTCACGGCGGCGCGCCGGGGGGGGCGGGGCGGCGGGGGGGAGCGATTTAAAGGGACAATGTCCCCCGAGCGGTGGAGGCGGCGGCGGCGGCAGCGGCGGCAGCTGCGGAGGCCGTGGCACCGGCACCAAGAGCCGCCGCAGCTGTAGCGGCAGCGACGGCCGCACGAAGGAGGGGAGTTCCCAGCCGGCGGCGACGCCTACCGGGTGAGGCCAGACCCAGCCTGGGAAGCTTGCGGGCGGAGCGGAGCTGGAGCGGGGAGGGGGAGGCCTGGGCCGAGCCCGGCCGGGCGGGACCCCCTGAGGCGGGGGGCGGGGCGGGGCCTGCATGGGCGGGGCCTGGTTGGGGGCGGGGCCGTACAGGTGGGGGGAGGGGCGGGGGTCTCGAGGCAGGTGTCTCCCCCCCCCTTCCTCGGCTCGTCCCTCGGGGTCTCCCGCCCCGAGGTGCACGGGCGAAGGGCGCATTCCCGGGACCCTAGGTCCCCCGCGGGGTGCGTCCGCGCAGCGCCACCCCTACCTCTGCGACCCTTGAGGGGCTGGGGTGGGGAACGACCATCCGGACCGGAGCCCCCTCCCCAAGCTGCCAAAGTGCTCCGAAGTTGCGGTCCTACCCGATCCCCGCCGGCAGTGCCTACCCCAGTGGGCACCCGCAGGTGCTTTCTCCAGGCCTGGACAGGGACCCCTCCTGCCAAGACTGTCAACCCACCCTGTATAGGCCCCCCGGGAGCACCCAGGCCCCCGAGGGCAACGCCTGCTACCAGGCCTGGAGACCCGGCCCCGCCCCGGTTGCCTGGGCCCGGCCTCACCACCATCTCCCTCGGGAGAGCGCCTCATTCCTGCCCTTCACTTTCTGCTCTACCTTGAAGGTATTTATAGGTGGAGAGGACAGCCGGCCCTCCTCCCCCCACCAGGGTCCTTATTTCTGAAACAGGAACCCCATCGGTCTCTTTCATCCTCGGGCCAGAGCAACCAATATCGGTGGAGGATGCAACCAATATTATTGGAAGGTGGCAGGGTGGAGGAGCCCAGGCTTGGTATGCATGAGAGATCATGCTGAGGAGAAGGGAAAGGGTTAATGGTGGGGTCACTTGAGGCTGTGAAGAGGTTAAGGGGTTAACTCTGGATAACCTTACAAGGAGAAGGGTCCGAGTGTGGGGAAAGTGTAGGGCTAATTGACATGGGGCAACAAAAGTGAGAAAAGTGTAAGGGCAAAGATAGGGGCACTTGAGACAGTGCATTCAGGAGCTGGGAGTGTGGAAGTGCCTGGGCTCCTGGAAACTGGAGGCATGGTCATAGGATGTGCAGGTCCAGGAAAGCCAGCAAGCAGCTGGAGAGGTGAAGCTGTAAGTGAGGGAAGACTAGGGGGAGGTAGAAGGATTAAAGAGGGAAGACTGGGGTGACTGAGTGCATGTGTGAGTGAGGTAAATGAAGGCTGCAAAGAAGCTGGGAGAAGAGAAAGGTGTGGTGTGGTGAAGTAGGCTAACAGTGGAGGTGATGGGGTTATGATACATGCGAAAGGGCCTCAACACCATTTACCCCCTCACTTCAACTGAGAAGTAAACTGAGGCAATAGGCCTCGAAGGTAAGGACTGGGGTGTTGAGGGAGGGGAAAACTGAGAAAGAATTCCTTTCTTGCTTTTCCTAAGGCTTTCTCTTTCTTTGTCCCCAGGGCCACAATGTCCTGCTGAATCTGCCAGGTACTGAGTGAAGATCAGCGGCTACCACCCATGGAGGGGTTACTGGCAGGTGGCCTGGCTGCCCCAGATCGTCCTCGAGGCCCAGAGAGACTGCCTGGCCCAGCTCCGAGAGAGGACATCGAGGGTGGGGCTGAGGCTGCTGAGGGGGAAGGTGATATTTTTCGATCTACTCATTACCTGCCTATCACCAAGGAAGGACCACGAGACCTTCTGGATGGCCGCAGTGGCATTTCTGGTAAGAGGGCTCTGTGGCCCTAAGGAAACATCCCGCTTAGTCCTCAAGGCTCAGAGAGAGGAGCCCAGTCACCCTACTTAGCAAGGGTTGGGATTCGAATTCTGCTTGATGTCCAGAGCCTTCTCCTGGTGCTGTGCTTTGTTTTTTATTTTGCTCTTATGAAAACAAATTCCTTTGGGAGCCCATGACTGTATTGCAGTTGCCCAGAGGAACTAGAAACATACTTGGAGTGGCCTGGCTCCCTCCTTCTGAGCTAGACAGCAGTTGTATTCTAATACCCGTACCAGCACCTTGAGCTCTTGGCCCAAAGCCCACTTGTTCCTTGGGGGGCAACCTGTTCCCATCAGTGTAGCTCACTCAGCTCCTTGCAGTCTTGTTGGAGTGTAGCTCCTGAGCCCTGGGCCAAAACAGCTTGTGCCCTCTAGTGGTGAGGTAGAAACTGGGGCATTAGAGATGCCTGTCGCCTCTGTCTGCCTTGCTCTGCCCTGTACAAGGATAGCTCACACTGTCCCTACTTCACAAATCGTTATTCATTCATTAAATACGGAGCACCTGCTGAGTGCCAGTTTCTGTTCTGGGTACTAGAGAAACTAACCACGACAGAGAGGCAATAGTTCCTGTCCTTCAAGGGTTGGTATCCTAGAAGGGAAGATAAATGGAAAACAACTGGACAGATGTCCTAAGGGGAGGTGATGTTGGAGGCTATGCAGATCTTAACCAGAGTGCCAGGATCATGCCTGGGAGACCTGGGGAAAGCCTCCTGAGGGAGTGGTATTTGAGGTAGAGCATGAAATGAATGGTGGAAAATGCCCACCACATGGTAGGAGCAGTAAGTGCAAAGGCCTGGAGGAGAGGAGCCTGGCATGTTTAAGGAATCTGGCGTGGCTGGGGAATACTTTTCCTTCATCTCCTTGGTTGACCCCCCCCCAAAAAAAAACTCTGGGTCCCAAGAACTTCAAAGCACCTCTTTGGTGGTTCCTACATGCCAGATTCTTTGTGTGACCAAATTATGTCATACTTAGAACCTTGGTAGGTTCTCAGTTATTCATTTACCTCACATTAGGAATGGGGGATCCAAGACCCTCAGGGATGAAGTAAGTATCCCAAAGTCACAGAGTCACAGAGTCAGGCAGTAATGTGGCCTCACAACCCTCCTCCTTTTTCATTTTAGGTTTTACTTTTTTAGAGAACTGGGGATTGCACCTTGGCCCCTGCACAGTCTGCTAATGCTGTTCCACTAGCTCCATCCCAGCCCTTTTCTTATATTTTTAAGTTTCTTTCATCCAGTTGTTCTTTCTTTCTCCTCGTGTTTTGTCATCCTACATGTTAGGCAGCACTCGACCACTAATCTACATTTTCAGGCCTCATCTTACTTATTTTATTTCATTTTATTTCTTTTTTTGGTTTTTCGAGACAGGGTTTCACTGTAGTTTTAGAGCCTGTCCTGGAACTAGCTCTTATAGACCAGGTTGGCCTCGAACTCACAGAGATCCGCCTGCCTCTGCCTCCTGAGTGCTGGGGTTAAAGGCGTGCGCCACCACCGCTTGGCCTATTTTATTATTTTTGATGGTATGAAAATATTGCGTGTGAATATATGCATGTGACTGCTAGTGCCTGCAGAGGCCAGGCTCATTAGCTCCCTGGAGCTGGAGTTACGGACAGTTCTGAGCCACTGGGCCTCCTCTTTTTAAGTTTTTGGTTTTCCCCATTATTATTATTTTATGTGTATGGCTGTCTTGTGTCTATGTGTTCCTCTGTGTATCTCCTGCATGCAGTGCCTTTAGAAGCCAGAAGAAGGAATCAGATCCTTTGGGATTGGAGTTACAGACAGTTGTGAGCTTCCTTGTGGATGCTGGGAATCGAACCCTGGGTCCTCTAGAAAAGCAGACAGTGCACTTAACCATTGAGGTGTCTTTCCAGTCCCTCTTTTTTGATATTTGTTTGTTTCTGTTTTTGTTTCTTGAGACAGGCTTTCTCCGTAGCCCTGGCTGTCCTGAACTCACTCTGTAGACCAGGCTGGCCTTGAACTCAGAAATTTGCCTGCTTCTGCCTCCCAAGTGCTGGCATTTTAGAGTTGTGTGCCACCATGCCAGGCTACCTTTGCAGTTTTTTAGTATTTTTCTTCTTTTTTCACTTTGCTGCTTTCTTTCTTGTGTTCTGTTTTGCTTTGTTGTCCCAAAAAGTTAGGGAAGTACTCAGTCACATTCCCAGATCCCTTTACCCATAGCCCCCTCTCTGTACTTTTGAAGCTCCTTGATCTACCCCTACCCGGCAGCACTTCTTATGATGCTCCAGTATTTATAACCCTACCTTCATAGAATCAAGTAAGGAGGGGACCAGGAACATGCTATCCCTGCTGTCATGGGCCCCTTTATCCGGGGCAGGGAAGAGAAACATGAACCAAGACATAGGATGATGAGGAAGCAACACTACAAAAAGCAGAAGGTATCTAGCGAGAGAGAGCCCTGACTTGTAAAGGTTTGAAGGGGACTGCTGGCACCTGCCAGTCTGAGGTGCCAGGAAGATGGTGAGTAACAAATTCTGAGGGTAAAGGGTTATCCCTTAGCAGTCCCATCCTCAGGACCCAGAGAGCAGCAGGACTTTATCCCAGGTCACACAGCTAGCCAGGGCAGGACTGGGGTCTTGACTCTGTAGGAATCTGAGAAATCTGTAAATTCCAAGGGACTGGCACTTTTTCTCCATGTGGCAGATAACCCAGGCTGGAGAGGTGGGGAAGGTAGGTAGGTGTGTGTCTTCACCACCCCAAATCTGACTGCAGAGCAACCAGGGATTCATGTGTGTACCTCCTAGGTAGGAGGAGTAAGGAGCCACCAAGGAGGACAAAACCCATCCTCAATGGGTTCCCTGAGCAAATGGGAGCACAGGTGGGGGTGGCTGCATTGACAAGATCAAATCATGGAGGTTAGAGAAGGCCTGGATGTTTCTCCCACTGCCCTCTCAGCCTGCTTGACCCCCCCCCCCCCCCCCCCCGCCTTCATAGACTAGACACTTGCCTCGGGAGTCTTGTGATGTCTATAAATAGGTACAGCCTCTGAGGCTGCTATTCTGTCCTGAAGCCTGGGCACTCCCTCATCCCCATGCAGCCCTCAGAACCCTTCAAGGATCCCAGGAATGACACCCCAAACTTCTCTACCTGGACAAGGATATGCCCACTACCTGTTCTGTCTTCCATTATGGCTATCAGTTGGGACCCAGTCTGAAGTTCCATCTGAAGTTCCATTGCAGTCCCATATACCTCTGAGGTGGGCTTCACAGGTGCAGAAAAGTCTTGTGGAATTTACATGTTCCACTCAGATCAGTGAAGAGTCTGGTGCATGGCCTGCCATTGTTTGGAGGACAGGAGTCCTGGGAACAAAGAATGTATCATTTCGGGATCCTGAAGGGAATGAACCAGAGCGCAGAGAAAGCAAGCCTGAGGCTGCAAGTGTAGCCTCCATCTCCCACCCCAGGACATCATCAAGACAGCCGTGACACTACAGAACACTTACCTCCTCCTCCCCCTCCACACATCGCTATTTCTCTGGATGGAATTCTTCCTGTGATCTCATTAGCCCTCATCAGTGGCCTCTTGAAGCTGGGTTCCTGTCTGTTTGCATTGTACTGAGGAGGAAACTGAGACTTGGGGCCTGGAAGGCAACTTCTGATCACACTGCTGAGTTTTACACTTGGAACTCTCTGACATCAAAGTATGGATTCTTGGCTACTCTGTCAAGCTGCAAGATGCCTGGCTTAGAGTCTAAGTGGATCATGGACACTCTTTCCTCTCATTTGTAAGCTGTCTCAGGAACCCCATATAGCAGGAGCCAGTGAGGGATTCCGGCACTGCCACGGACTCAAGAGTTGCATCCCAGGTGCCTCATGTGACCCACAGGGGCTTCTGGATCCCCTTCAGTGTGGAGGCTTCTGGGCAAAGCCCCCACCTCCAAGGTGTCTCAGTTACAAACCCTGCTTGTTCTCCTTCCTCAAAAGTTGCTGCCACTAAAAATAGGAGCCTCATTGGAGCTGCTCAGACAAAGAGGCCAGTGTGCCCCCCGGCTCATGGAATTCTTTGACAACAGCCATTGCACACAGCCATCAAATCTGGGACACTCAGAATTTCAGAAACAGGACACCTGGGACCCTCAGACCCACATCTCTAGGCTGTACTAGGGCTGGCTAACCACTAATTGGTCACCCTCTCCTGATTAGCTCTACTGTGTGATGTATCCAGGAGAGAACCTGTTTCTTATGATTGGTTTTCCTAGCCCCCACTATCCTCTCTAGCACCCCATTATAACTTAAGTCCTTAAAATCCAAGAATGTCCTCCTTCCTGTGGGTCTACCTCTGTGGTTCTCAAATGGGGACACTCAGGTTCCACAGGGGACACTTTAGGAATGTGTAGAGACATTTTCAGATGACATGATTGCAGGAGAGGTAGGTATTAATGTCTTGTGGGTGTGTAGATGCCAAGGACATTGCTGATCATCCTGCAGCAATGCAGAAGTGCCTCAGCCCAGAGAAGCACCCCCGCATCCAACTGTCAACACTAAAACCACTCTGCCCTAGGATATGCAAATTTTTGTGCTCCTGCCCCACATTTTAGAGGCCATGCCATTGTAACAGGCCCTTCCATCAGGTTCAACAGACAGACCCCACCTTCCTGACCACCCGTCCTCATTTTCATTCTTCTGTCCCCAGTGGTCAGCTTTCAGTTCCCAGGGAAAATTGGACGGTGGGGGATTGGAAGAATCTGTGCCAGCCCTCGCCCTTTCTGGACTATCCTCAAATTGAGGTTGATCCAGCAATTGCATCTGTCAGGCCCTGGCCAGGGCACAAGTTCCCCCAGCGTGTTAACCTTGGCCCAAGCAATTGGCTTACTCCCTTCTTGGCATGCTTGCCATGTCAGGCAAGCGTGGCGGGTAGAGGCATGGGCCAGGATTCCTGTGGTGGCTCCAGGCATTGGCTCTACAGGTGGATAATGGAGAGTTGGCTCTATCTGTGTTGTTGTGAGGTGGTGGGCATTCCCAAGAAGGGATTCCATTCTAGGATTTAGGCCTGGAAACGGGTCCAGAAGGCAGGCATGGGCCATGTGTGGCTCAGGGTGGCCAGGCTCCCCACTCATCATCTGGCATGTGTTCGTTTAGTACTTGCATGCCAGGTGCTGGAATGCTGCCATGAATGAGGCTGCAAATGTCTCAGTTCTCAGGGGGCTTATGTGCTTACAGGGGACCCAGACATGCAGTTATCCATAGAGAGAACCTGGCAATATCTGGGAGAGCTAAAAAATAAATAAAGCAGATGCCAGGCATGGTGGCACAAGCCTGTAATCACAGTATTCAGAAGGCAAGAGACAGGAGAATGGATGGAAGAAAGACAAGCTTGGCAGTATAATGGCTTCTAGGAGCTTTGTAGCAAGATTTGTCTCAAAAGCAAAACAAAGCTGGGTGTGGTGACTCATGCCTATTTTCCCAGCACTTAGAAGGCAAGAGGCAGAAGAACTGTAAGTTTTGAGGTTAGCTGGTCTTAAGAAAGACCTTGTCGAGCAGGTGGTGGTGGCGCACGCCTTTAATCCCAGCACTCGGGAGGCAGGGGCAGGCGGATCTCTGTGAGTTTGAGGCCAGCCTGGTCTACAAGAGCTAGTTCCAGGACAGGAACCAAAAAGCTACAGAGAAACCCTGTCTTGAAAATCAAAAAAAAAAGAAAGAGAGAGAGAGCGAGAGAGAGCGAGAGAGAGAGAGAGAGAGAGAGAGAGAGAGAGAGAGAAAGAAAGAAAGAAAGAAAGAAAGAAAGAAAGAAAGAAAGAAAGAAAGACGTTGTCTCAAAGGCAAAACTAAGACTAGGCATAGGGATACACACCTGTAACACAACTGTAGTTCCAGCACTTGGAAGATAGAGGCAGATCGGGAGTTCAAGGTCATCCTCAGTTACACATTGAATTTAAGGCCAGCCTGAGCCAAATGAGACCCTGTGCCCACAGACAGACAGAAAGACAGACAGACAGACAGATAAAATCAAAACCAACCAACAGAAATCCAACAAAGTAGCACAAAAATAAATTTTAGGTTAAAAAAAGAGACAATCATAATATCTCATTTGAATAAGTAGTCAAAGAAGTACCAAGTGCAGTTGGAAAAGTCCTGCAACTGCTGGGCATAGTAGTGCACACCTTTAATCCCAGCATTCAGGAGGCAAAGGCAGAAGGATCTCAGTGAGTTTAAGGGCAGCCTAGTCTATAGAGCAAGTTCCAGGACAGGACAGGGCTGCCCAGTAAGACTGTCACACACACACACACACACACACACACACACACACACGGGTGGGGGTGGCAGAGGCCAGAGAGAGTTAGGACTCAAAGCTTCATAGGGATGGGAGTTGGGGGAGAATGCAATTGGGTCACAGCAGCGAGGGCCCAGGAAAGGCAAGTGAAGTTGGTGAAACCAAGAAAGACCCAGATCTCATATGTGTGTCATTGTTGTGGCAGGTGGGACTTTAGCTTTTTCCTGTAGCTAGAATTAGAAGCATATGAGTTTTCCCAGGGTATGACTTAAAAATGAAGAAACAGACAAACACTACCCTGGTTGTTGCATGTCAGGAAGCCTGAAAGGCAGCAAGTCCCTAGGGTCCTCCAGGAGACCTAAGGGAATTCCTTGAGAGAACCTCCTTTCAGGGAACAAATACAAAGGTCAGAAGCCTCTGAGGGATAGGGTTGGAGGCCTACAGGGCCCCTCTTAGATATCCCACAGGCTCTTGGAGCTGAGGTATGGAGGACCCCGGCCAGGGGAACCCCGGCCCTGGCCAGAGGGACCCCAGCCCCTCAGGGTCTCCCCTCTCTGTTGCAGATGGGCAGCCCCATCCTGGCCTCAGCGAAGCCCTCCCCCGTGCCACCTCCGCCACCCATCGGATCAGCAGCTGGTGAGTGCCACGCTGGCCCTGACCTCAGGTAGGGCAGGGGATGAGCAGGAGTGTCTAGGGTCCATCAAAGCCCTCTGGGGAATGAGAAGGGGATAGGAGGGAATCAAGAGGCCAGGCAGGAGGAGGTGGCTCCCCATAGACCAGCCCCCCGGGTGTGTGCTGGGGTAAGGGAGGAGGTCTGATAGCAACACAGAAGGTCAACTCTCATTACCCCTGCCAGGAGCCAGGCCAGAAAGGGACAGGTCTGTACACTGGACTCTTGGAGTCCAGTCTCTCTGTTAAGTGATGCTTAGATTGCCTCAGTTTTCTCATCTACAAAATGAGATGAGAAAGTTCGCTGCCACAGATATGTTTCACAAATTCGCCTTGGGAACTCAAGGAGCAGGGAAAGGACAGGGATCATGCCGATTCTTTTGTTTGTTTATGGTGCTGGTGACAAAACTCAAAGGAGCAAGGACGTACAAGGTCAATGCAAGTGCTCTACCATCTAACCCTGAGCTGTAGCCCAACCTTGCTACTCTTTATTAAAGAGTTGGTGGATCTAATATATAATTATGATAATCTCAAGATTAACAACAGGTCTAGAAATGAATACTAACTATTATGTTCTGGCTCTCAGTTCAGCGCACTGACTCCTTGCGACAGCACTGAGAGGGTGGCACTTTCCATATTGCATGGCACCGATGAGGCTCAGAGAGGGCACTATGGCGTACACTTAGCCTGTCTGTACTACCTGTTTCCTCACCTGGTCCATGGGTGTGATCAGTCTTCCCCTCCACCCCCATCTTGTGAAGGCAGAATCCCTTAAAATGAAGGGAGGCGTACATCAGTCATCCCAGAACTCATGAGGGAGATGCAAGAGAGTCAGGAGTTCAGGATCCTCCTCTGCTACATAGTGAATTCAAGGCTAGAATGGACCACTGAGACCCTATCTCAAAGAAGTGTGTGTGTGTGTGTGTGTGTTGTATATGCTTATGTGGGCACGATGGCACATACTATTCTCCCAGAACCTGGGAATTTAAAACAAGACAGTCTTTTTTTTTAATTATTTATTTATTTATGATGTATACAATATTCTGTCTGTGTGTATGCAGGCCAGAAGAAGGCACCAGACCTCATTACAGATGGTTGTGAGCCACCATGTGGTTGCTGGGATTGAACTCAGGACCTTTGGAAGAGCAGGCAATGCTCTTAACCGCTGAGCCATCTCTCCAGCCCAACAAGCCAGTCTTGAGTTCAATACCAGTCTGGGGTACATAATGGAACCCTGTCTCAAATTAATTGGCCTATCCTGGTAGTACAGACCTATAATCTACAGCTACTCCAGAGGGTTAGGGAAGAGGGTCTTGAGTTCAAAACCTGACTGAACTACAGAGTGAGTGCAAAGCTAGCATAATTTAACAAGATCCCATCTCAAATTTTTAAAAAGGGAGAAGGTCTAGGGATGTGGTTCCATGGTAGAGTGTTTGCCTAATGTGTACCAGGTCCTAGGTTTGATTCCCAGCACTGGGGGGAAATGAAGAGAGAACTGATCAGGAATACTTATATTTTAAAAAGTGTGAGAACCTGGTGTAGTGGCTACAACTTTAATCCCAGCACTCAGGAGGCAGAGGTAGGCAATCCCTGTGAGTTTGAGGTCTGCCTAGTCTACATAATGAGTTCTAGGCCAGCCAGTGCTACATAGTGAAACATTGTGTCCTCTGAAAAAGTTCTGTCCATCCCAAGGCTTACCAGGTATCAGGTGATTCCTAAGCACTTGAATTATATCTGTCTTTACCCTATATCTTGTTGTAGGGTCGTAGCCCCTGTGTTGGCAAGCTTTTAAATAAGCACCTGCCTTGTGTGATAGTTTTCCTTGGTGACAACTGTCAGAAAGTTCCTTAGATATTATATAAGGAAGACAAGATTCCTGACTCGGAAATCATCTCCATTTTTAGGATTGGAAAACTGAGGCCCAGAGAACACTTTGCTCATCTGCTCTGAACTCCCAGCCCTATCTCCCACCCAGGAAGGTCAGAGTCATTGGAACCATTAGTCACTCCTGACTCTGCCCCTCCAAGAGGGGAGGAGGTTCATCCTTTGAGCTGTCCTGCCACAAAGTTGACCTTCACCAAATTTGGGGGAGAGATGTGACAAAATCGCCAGTTTGGGGAGGACCAAGACAGAAGCAACTTGGAGCCCAGGTCAGAGCCTTGGATCCTCCCTGGGGAAAGGTGAGAGTTGACTGTACCACCAGATTTGGGGATGCTCTCTTGAGGCTCTATCCCCCAACCTGTGGTCTCTGCACATTTCCCCAATGATGCAACAGGGCTGGGCTGTACAGACAGGTGCACTCTAGGAATTAAACCTGGCTTTGATGGACTGCCTCACCTTTACCCTATTACTCCCAGCCTCTCCACAGTCACCCTTAAGCTGGATTTCAAGGAACTGCTCCAGCAAGCCTAGGAAGACTACTACCCTATCACTACTACCTAGGGAGGGAAGCTGAGGCTCATGCTAACCTATCCCCATTGGCACTTCCTTGCAGCTACTGGGATGGAGACAGCCTGGACTTTCAGCCGGGCTCCCCACCACCCTATCTTCTGGGCCCCTTCCCTGCTTCCCTTGATGTTCAGGGGTCTTGGGAGCACCCCATGGTCCAGGAGGCCGGGGAGGGCATCCGGTCTGAGCAGAGGTTCGAGGATTCAGTTATTGTGAGAACTATGAAACCCCATGCCAAGCTCAAGGGCTCTAGAAAGTTTTTGCACCACCAGGGTGAACTGAAGCTCTTAGAGAAATACCCTCCAAGCCATCACAAGTTTGACTGGCTCCAAGATGCAGATGAGCAGGGGCCACTGAAGGATCCAGGGTTACACCTGGACCTCCCTGTCCAGCCACCAACTGTCACTTCCTTCAGGAAGGTAATTGTGCCAGTGGATGACACTCCCAAGACACTGGACATGGAGGTTATGGGTACCAGAGAGGACCTAGAGGACTTTGTGGGACTGGCCCAGCCTTCTGAGTGGGGACTCCACACGTCAGCCTCAGAAGTGGCCACACAGACCTGGACAGTGAATTCTGAAGCATCTGTGGAGCGACTGCAGCCCTTACTGTCCCCAGTCCAGACAGAGCCATACTTGTGTGAACTGTTGCAGGAAGTCGCTGATGGGGTGGACAGCCATGAGGAGGAGGAGGAGGAAGAACCGGCTGTGTTTCCATGCATTGAGTGCAGCATCTACTTCAAGCACAAGGAACACCTCCTAGAACACATGAGCCAGCACCGCCGAGCACCAGGCCAGGAGCCCCCAGCTGAGCTGGCTCCGCTGGCCTGTAGTGAGTGTGGCTGGGCTTTCACAGAGCCTACTGCCCTGGAGCAGCACTGGCAGCTGCACCAGGCTTCCCGGGAGAAGATTATCGAAGAAATCCAAAAGCTTAAGCGATTTCCAGGTGATGAGGGCCGTGAAGCACGGCTGCAGTGCCCCAAGTGTGTCTTTGGCACCAATTCCTCTAGAGCCTTCGTGCAGCATGCCAAGCTACATATCCGTGAGGTACTGCCCAGCAGGCAGGCCAAGGAACCTTTCAGGGGTGGCAACCCAGTCATAGATGCTAACACCTTTGTCTATCCCTCCTATGGAGACTCCCCAGGCCTCAATACCTGCATCTACTGTGGCTTCACGGCATCTAGCAAGAGTCTGCTCAGGGAGCACATAAGGCTAGTGCATGCCCATGCCCAGTGGGAGGAGCATGGCGAGTCCTTTGAGGAGAACCTCACTAGCCAGCCAGGTACTAGCCAGGATGCCTACGTCCACTTCCCTGACACTGCCACCATGGACTATTTTGGCAAATCTGAGCCTCTCTTGGCCTCTATGTGGCAGGAGAACCCTGCTGGATATGACCCAGGCCTAGCCTTTGGCCCAGACCATCAGCAGCCAGGCATGAGAGATTTCCCACTGTTGAACTCAGGCCAGCGGCCTTTTGGAAAGCTGGCCTTTCCTTCCCCTATGGCATCTGCTTCCTACTCCATTCAACTCAATAGAAACAAAAGCACTGTCCAGCTGCAGAGAATGGAAGACAAGAGTCGCCCTTGGAGTGAAGAGGAGGAAGAAGATGAAGACGTAGTGCTGACTTCTGAAATGGATTTTACTTCTGAAAATGGGGCCTTTCCACCCTCATCCATCTCTAGCCTCATCCCTCAGCCAGCCCTAGAGTTGAAGCAGACTTTCCAAGATGCTCTGCAGGCAGTTGAGGCCTCACAGGATCAGCAGCAGCAGCTCCAAGGAATGGTGCCCATTGTTCTGGTGGCAAAGCTCAGGTCACAAGTCATGGCTGCGGCCAGCCAGGCATCCCCAAAGCTACCACCTGAGGAACTGGGGCTGGGGAACACCCACCCCCTGGACTTCCTGCTCCTAGATACACCTTTGGGTGGATCACTGGGTCTGGACACACTTCTAGAAGAGGATACGGCCATGGCTCTTAAGCATGAGGAACGGAAATGCCCCTACTGTCCTGATCGTTTCCACAATGGCATCGGGCTGGCCAACCATGTCCGAGGCCACCTGAACCGCGTGGGTGTCAGCTACAATGTTCGGCATTTTATCTCTGCAGAGGAGGTGAAGGCAATTGAACGCAGGTTTTCCTTCCAGAAGAAAAAGAAAAAAGGTAGGGCATCGGCCTTGCTTTGAGAATCCATCTCCCTCTCCCCTTGCCTGGGAGGCACAGAGCTGGAGAGCAGACTTAGCCACCCCCACTGTGAATCCTGCTTTAGCATCCTGCAGGGTGAAATTGGGGGCCTCCCCTCTTGAGAGACCTGGGAGCCATGGGTAGTGTTGTCACCAAATGTTGGTGGATGTGCAGGGATGCCCCAGTGCCCTGATCACAATGACAGCTGGAGGAAGGCGTTATATATTCCACAGGCAGATAATTCCATTTGATGTGTTCATGCAGTAAATGTTCTTTAAACTGGGTCCTCTGTGTTCTGGAGTGAGCCAGACAACAGTTCTGATCTGTTAGAACTCATGGCCCACACCAAATAAAAGGACTCTTGGTGGGCTTCAGAGCGTGGGGCCCCTGTGCAGCGTGAAGATTTCAAGGAAAAAAAGGTTCTGATTCCAGAGGGCTGCCTCTAGGGAAAGCACACTGGGTGGTCCACTTGGGGAAGGTGCTAGTTTGGTGCTTAAGGTGCTAGTTTGGTGCTTGAGTGAATGAGAGTACACACACACACACACACACACACACACACACACACACACGAGAGAGAGAGAGAGAGAGAGAGAGAGAGAGAGAGAGAGAGAGAGAGAGAGAGAGNACACACACACACACACACACACACACACACACACACACGAGAGAGAGAGAGAGAGAGAGAGAGAGAGAGAGAGAGAGAGAGAGAGAGAGAGAGATGCTGAAGTGTCGGGTAAGTGGTAGACAGCTAAGAAATTAGGCAGTATGACATCAAGTGACCAGGACTGAGAAAAAAAACCCTAACTCTACCTTGAGGGCTCAGAGAGGATCCCAGATTTGGGCATCCCATCCTCTCCTTGTCCGTTTTTTCATACAGCCTACAATTAATGTATAATACTGGAGCGATGCCAAGCAGAGGTAGACACAGAGAGAGTATCTATCCAGTACTCTCTCTCATATTGCAAATTCAGAGAAGCCTCTTCTAGAAAGGGGTCCCTAATGCTGCTTGATGTGCAAACAGAGGTCTTGGAAGTGAGATTTCTTGGAGTGTCTGGTTTGGGGAGGGTGCACAAGCTGAGAGTTTCGGGTCAAGCAGAAGCATCAACAACAGAAGGGAAGGCAGGCATTCCAGGGTGATCTGTAGAAGCGGGGAAGTTGTGGGAAGGAGGTAGAGTTGGAATGGAGAGTGGCTCCCCTCACCACTACTCCATCTCAAGAACGCTGTATCTTTTTTCTGCAGTGGCTAACTTCGACCCGGGCACCTTTAGCCTGATGCGATGTGACTTCTGTGGGGCTGGTTTTGATACTCGAGCTGGCCTTTCCAGTCATGCCCGGGCCCATCTACGTGACTTTGGCATCACCAACTGGGAGCTTACCATCTCGCCCATCAACATCCTGCAGGAGTTGCTAGCCACCTCAGCAGCTGAGTTGCCCCCCAGTCCCCTGGGCCGTGAGCCACCTGGAAGCTTTCTGACTTCACGACGGCCACGTTTACCTCTGACCATGCCCTTTCCACCCACCTGGGCTGAGGACCCTGGGCCAATCTACGGAGATGGTAAGGGGAGGGGACAGGCCAGACTGGAGCCCTTCCCCTTCCCCAGGGCTTCAGAGGGATGGATGGGTGAGTTGGAGGGTGTCTACTCTGCTTTCTCGGAAGCATTTCATCTGTCTGTAATTCTAGCACTCAGGTAAGACGCTCAGGGCCAGCCTGAACCGCATAGCAAACTCCAGGCCTGAGCTAGGCGAAACAGTCAGACCTTATTTTTTTAAGAAAAAAAGCATATTAACAAATTTTACCACCACTATATTGCGACATAAGGGTAATTTCTGTTTTAGTCAAGGACTTGTTCATGGCCTTTTCTGAATTCGATTTCTCAGTGAGTTCTTTCTAGAAGCAATGGCACTTTTCAAGCACAAAGCCATTGAACTCCTTACAACTACCCTGTGAAAGTGGGTGTTTTCATCATATCCATTTTACAGAGGAGGAATCTGAGGCACAGAGAACTTAATTTACCTGCCCCAAATTACATAGTTAGAGGGAGCTAAGCTTTGCAATCCAGGTAGTTGGGCAGCAAATTCTTTGTTCTGGGAAAATCTCCTATGTTGAATACTATGTCCAATAGAACTTTGTCAGATGTCAGAAATAGTCTTTAACAGTCTGTGCTGGCTGGAGGATCACCATGGGCTACATGTAGCCATTGAGCACTTAAAATATGACTAGTACTGATCCACTGGTGATCTTACTGAAGTGGGTAGTACAGATCTAGAATCCAGACTCTAGCTGGGGATGTGGTTCAGTGGTAGAATGGTAGCATGGGCAAAGCCCTAGTCTGGTTCAGTCTCTAGACTCAGACAGTTCTGTCCAGCCACTCTGACAAACCCTTCCCATACTCAAGCAATTGCATGTACTAAGGCTTCAACCTTTGTCATCTCAGATATGCCAAAAAAAAAAAAAAAAAAAAGCTGGTAGGGCAAAAGATTATTTTATCTTGCTTTGATGTTCTGGGCATGGAACCCTGGGCCTCATGCATGTTAGGCAAATGCCCTCACCACTAAGCTATGTTCCTAGCCCTAGGATCATTGAGTATTTATCTCAAAGAAACTGTGAATTGTTTGCTTTGTTCCAGTCACATACAGGCAGAGCTGGACTTCTGAGCTTCTTGTTTGGTGGTGTCTTGAAATCTAGAATCGGTGTTTGGTGTTAAATTACAGGGTGGGCACAGCAGAATTAGAGGAAAAGTGAAGGACCTGCCTTGCAAAACTTGACATTCTGAGCTTTTAAAAGACAAAGAACTCAGCTAAACGTGGTGGTACACACCTTTAATTCCAGCACTCTGGAGACAGAGGCTGGTGGCTCTTTGAGTTCAAGGCCAACCTGGTGTACTTACTGAGTTCTAGGATAGCCAAGGCTACAGGAAGAGACCCTGTCTCAAGAAATAAAGTTGGAGTCAGAGAACTGAGCTGTGAAGTGTAGTTGAGTAAAATTCAAACTCCTTGGCTCTGAGGAGTGAAACACATCTAAACTGGCAGAATTAATGTAGGGTACAGGAACTGGCTTTCTTCCACGGTTCCTCTACCTACAGTTTCCAGGCTCCTGTCTAGATGTGTATTTTAGACTTGGCCAAATCCACCGTCCCATCTGTAAGCCATGTAAAGACACTTGAAAATTTTCAAAGGACAGGGTGGGGATGTCAAAAGTCCATCTCTTGCTGGGCAGTGGTGGCGCATGCCTTTAATCCCAGCACTCAGGAGGCAGAGACAGGTAGATATCTGTGAGTTTGAGGCCAGCCTGATCTACAGAGCGAGTTCCAGGACAGGCTCCAAAGATACAGAGAAACCCTGTCTTGAAAAAAAAATCATCTCTTCCTTGAGCAAGAAAGAAATTGAGGCACAACAGATAGGTTGTTGACTGACTGAAGCCATATCTCAGAGAAAGGCAGAGGAATGGGACATGGGGCTTTTTGCCTTTGGTAAAGATTGCTGGTGATTCAGCTTTTCCACCTGATTTGGTTTGTAATGTCTTAGGGATGACTGGAAGGTAGAGCCAGCTCTAAGGATATCTATATCTGTGGAAAGCAATCTATGGGAGCTCCAGCTCTGACCCCTTTTTCTGTGTTATCCCAGCGCAGGCCTGCATATCATGCTCACATTTCTTCTCTGGCACCTGAGCCAGACACTCCCAAGGATGAGACCAAGTTCCGAACAGCCAAATTCACTTACGACCAAAATATTTTCATGAAAAAAAAATTAGTGTGTCACCTCCCAGAGGGAGCTGGCCCAAACTCTAGGGTGTGAGGAAGTGGAGTCGGCTTTGCTTTGGCTTTATGTAAGGGGAGGAGAGAGTTATGGCCTGTTTAGGGAACACATGAAGATGGGGGGGATAAGGAGTAGCTGAAATTATCTTAACTTTGCAAAGTAAGGATGTTCCAAATCAGGCTCAGGTTGGGGCAGTGGCCCTGCGTGGCAGTTCTTTTAGTAGGTTCTTCCCCTTTTGCCAAGTAAGCCAGAAGGGGAGGGTACCAGGTTGGAGGCGGGGCAGCGGTCAGATTCTGGTTCCACCCATCTGTCAAGGAACAGCTGGACGCTGCAGTTTGAAGTTGGGGCGGGAGCGTGTGGGGTGCTAGAATCGTAGGTAAGGAGGGACTGAGTTTCTTGGATGGCGGGACTGCTCTATCCAAGATCAGCTATAGATAACAGGGTGACGTGGGGGATGGGGAGGATCACCGTGGTCAAGGATCTATTGTCTTTCAGAGTTGTTCTAGAAGGTTTGCCTTGAGTAAGAAAAAAGAAAGCGACAGGGTTTCAAGGCAGGTCCTAGCTCTGCTGTCAGGGTTCTAATTCTGAGTGCTAATATTGAGGTGAATGTGTGTGACTGGAGTGTTCCCTTTCTAGCCGTAGGGATGTGCGGATCACGGTCTAGGGCGGTTGCTGGAGGCGTCTGGAAGCTTGACCTGTGTGCGTGAGCCCTAGCGCTCCAGGCAGCTCCCAAGAGCTTCCAAGTCAGCTCCTCAGCGCCCAGAGCATTTCGCTCGAGGCGCTCGACGCTCTTCAGGTTGCCCTGGGTGCGCCCGGAGGGGCGGAGCAGAGCACGCTCGGCGGTAGCGGCGCGCAGCGCTCCGCTGCTCTCGCCTGGGGCGGCCGCCCCGCGTGCGCCGGAGCCAAGATGGCCGCCTCCACCGCCCAGTGCCGAGTGACAAAAGCGGAGAGCAAGGCGGCGGCGGGGCCGCGCGCGGGGGGTGCCCGGGAGCGCGCGACCACGGGGGCGCCCTCGCCAAGTCCCCCGAGTCCAGGCCCAGTGGTTCTCCCGGCGCCGCCGCCTCCGCCCCCGCCTCCGCCGCCACCGCCGCCTTCGCGGGACGGGCCCAAGGCCGAGCCGGAGCAGGGTCCCGGGCCCGTGCCCGCGCCCGCGCCGGGTAAGAGTTGGCGGAGGGGAGGGGTTCGGGAGGGGAAAGTCGGCGTCCCACCCGCGTGTGCCGCCGCTCCCGCACACCCGCCGTCCGGTCTCTGTGGCACTCCCCCACCCCCAGGCGCTCGGGCCCTGGGCCTCCCTCAGCCTCCTGGAGGGTCCCAGGCTTCGGAAGCACTCTGCCGCTGCTCCTCAGGACGCTCGCCGGCTCTGACAGAAGTCCCCTGCCTCTTTTGGAGTCTCAGAAGCTCCCAGTTGTCACGGTTCCGATCCCCTCGGTGTGGAAAACCACCTTTGGCCCTGCCCCATCTGACAGACGCGCCCACTTCTACCTGGAGACTTTGACAAAGTACTCGGTGTCATGATCTCGGTAGCCCCCTGGCCTATCTTCTTGCCTCTGTGGGACTCAGACTGAGCAGGGAGCGACCTTCCTAGCCCCCTGCCCTATTGCATTCTACTGGTCGTCTCCGAAGCCCATCTGACACACAGTTCTTCATCCTCAGCTGTTGTTCAGAATTCGACTTCATCTCCTCCCGGTATCCCCCATTCCTACCCCTTTTAATGGAAACTTAGACTAAGAAAACCACCCTTGAGTCCTTCTCCGCGTACCTCTTACCTGAGAAGGCGTCCTCCCTCGAAGCCTAAGAAAGTTTGTGCAAACTTGTGTCATCATCACTCTGGCTGTCCCCGAGTTAGTTGCCCAGGCTCCAGATTCTTCCTTTGTCCCATTTACAGTTCTACTGCTGGGACTAGCTGTTGTATTTGAAGCTCCAGCTCCCTTGGTTGGTGGAGGTTCCTCCCTCCCTGTGTGTCCTTAGCTTCTTGCTTTTTCTGCCTTGCCTCTCTGGCCTCCAACTCTGGTCTTTGTCTCTTTTGACTGTTTTTACCCTTCACCCCCTTATAAGTTCTACCTAGAGAGGCATTATCTCTTAAGATGACCTCAGATAGGAGTCTCAGCTGAAATGTGTTCTCAGACCAGTCAGCCTTCTGCTGGACTGAAGCTACTGTTTGTCTCCTGTCATTGAACAATCTCAGTGTCTCTGCTTTGTGCTGCGGTGGGGGTTTATGGGTACATCCTCAGCTCTCATGGAACTAATGGCTTCCAGGAGTGAGAGCAGATGTCAAGGATGAGGAAGAAGTACTTTTAGTTCTTTCAGTCCCGTTCTTGGGATGGACAGCCTGACTATTGATTGGGCTGAGCCTGTCTCCTCCACCCCACAGGCCTTTGTTCTGAGGAAAACACAATGGTGGCCATGGACTTGGGGTCTCCCTTACTCCCAAAGAAGAGCCTGCCTGTCTCTGGGACCCTGGAGCAGGTGGCCAGTCGGCTGAGCAGCAAAGTGGCTGCAGAGGTTCCTCATGGCAGCAAACAGGAGCTGCCAGACCTCAAGGGTGAGTGGCCCAAGCAACAAGGCATGTTTGCTGGCCAGCATAGTCATGCTGACAGAAGCACTGTCTGGCCTGGCCGACTACCATGGGTCCCCAGGTTGGCCCTCATCTTCCTTCCGGCATTATATAAGGCACCAAGGAGATAGACACCCAGCTGTCTTCTACATTGAGTTTCTATAGCTTTGGCCATATGGCCCTCGGCTACTACCTTACTGGGTGAAGAAGGGGCATCCAGGGAAGCAGTGGGCAAGGTGGGTAAGCGATCAAATTCAAACCCACGTCACTAGCCAACCTTGTTAGTTTTGAGCTTTCATATGATACCTATTTGTTTTTCTGTAGACAACAAGGTTGTTGAGAGTAATGATAAGCATCTTACTAGTTCCTACGTGTGTTAAGATGAGCAAAACCAAACTCGCCTTTGCATCATTGAAGTTGGGCAAGGAGGCCAAGAAGCAGATGGGGAGTGGGCAGGGCCATGGCTGGGACCTCTGACTTAGCATTTGAAGTATGCATTGAGTTACAGTGAGTAGGTTGGATATTAGCTCCATATGTGATGTATGTGTGTGCATGCATGCATTTGTGTAAGCATGCTGCCAGGGCATCCTGGTATGTTGCAGGTCTGAAAGACATCCCCACTGGCTAGGCAACAGAGGGTCCAGCCTCCTGTTGTGCACCCTTGGACACAACTCTTCCCTTCTCTGAGCCTCAGTTTCCTTACTTCCAAACAAGAAATATTAACCCCCACCAAATTAGAATTGTTACGACCAAAGAGATTTGACAGAAGCAGAACACTTCCTTTGAACTTAGATAAGGGGAGGAGAATGGGTCAGTATACCTGCAAGACCTCATGGCCTTTCATCCTGGCCTCCATCTCACCCTCCAGCCCAGAGCCTGACCACCTGTGAGGTCTGCGGTGCCTGCTTTGAGACACGAAAGGGCCTGTCCAGCCATGCACGTTCACATCTGCGGCAGCTGGGGGTCGCAGAGTCAGAAAGCAGTGGTGCTCCCATCGACCTTCTCTACGAGCTGGTGAAGCAGAAGGGCCTGTCTGATGCTCCCCTGGGGCTGCCCCCTAGCCTGACCAAGAAGTCCAACTCACCAAAGGAGTTGGTTGCTGGGGCTGCCAGGCCTGGCCTGCTCACCCTGGCCAAACCTTTGGATGCCCCTCCTGTCAACAAAGCCATCAAGTCACCTCCTAGCTTCTCAGCCAAGGGCCTGGCCCACCCATCCAGCTCTCCACTCCTCAAGAAGGCCCCACTCACTCTGGCAGGATCTCCTACACCCAAGAATCCTGAAGACAAGAGCCCCCAGCTATCCCTGAGTCCCCGGCCGACCTCCCCAAAGACACAATGGCCCCAGTCTGAGGATGAGGGGCCTCTGAATCTCAGTGAGTGTGGGTACTGGGAGCTGAGGGGGGTGCTGGGTATTACATGGTCCTTGGATGAGGAGGACCCAGGGTAGGAACTGAGGCATCTCCAGATCGTGGGTCATCCAGGTCAGTACTGATTGAGGCACTCATTGGGTCCCCTATTGGGCTGTCCTGAGATGATGATTTTTTTTTTTTCCCATTCTGCCAATCTTCCCCTGGAGGCCTACTACAGGTCTAAGCCTGCTAGGGTCCTACTTGCTACTTGAGAGGCGCTCTTGTCCTTCTCTGGCCTGATGGTGGGGTGGAGAAGGTAACCAGGGTACCTGTGGACCTGGCTTTCCTAGTGGGAGTCTGGGATATTTTGAATCATACAGGTAGATAGGTAGTAATCTCTACCAGAAGGGAAGTCCTTACACTGCCCTTTTTTTTTTCATGTTTCCTGGTCATGTGTGCCGAGGCTTCTCCCTGTTGGTGCACACAGATAGAGACCCTCCGCTATGGCTGCCTTGCACTTGGCAAGTTGGGTTTGGAAAGAAACCCTCCAAGTTCAGCAGTCAGGTTTTGAGGTGTCCGTTGTACTTTCCCATATGTGGCAGGTATTAGAGCCTGGTGACACCTGTGTTTTCTGGCAACCGCTTGCATTGGATCTGCTGTGGTTTTAGGAGTAGGGGTGCTCGGTAGTCTGGTGGTGCCTCCTACTCTTCACCTCTGTCTTCTTCCATAGTTCCCCTATCAGAGTTCCAAGGGAGCATCAAGATTTATCACAGAACTATATCCTTAAGCTCCTCTACCTTCACTTGGTGCCAGTGAGCTAGGCAGGGAACAGGCTGCTCTGCTACCTGAAACCTCTAAAAAAAGAAACAAAAACATGTCTGCAGCATAAAACTTGGACCCCTAACCACCCGGGCAGCTGAAAATCACACCAGACCCTCCTGCCTTCAACCCCTAGGGCCGACCAAGGAGGCGGCCGTGAACCCCCCCTGTGTTTTGTCTCCGCAGCTTTAGATAGTGACGGGGGCAGAGAGCTGGACTGCCAGCTGTGTGGTGCCTGGTTTGAGACCCGCAAGGGCCTGTCCAGCCACGCCCGTGCCCACCTGCGCCACCTGGGCGTCAGCGACCCGGATGCCAAGGGATCCCCCATAGACGTGCTCCACGGGCTCATCAGGAGGGACGGCTTCCAGATCCGCCTCCCACCCGGGCGGGGAGCTCTGGCCCAGCTGGGGCGTCCTCCTTCTGCCTCCACGGCCCTCTCCTTGCTCCCTCCCCCACCGCCGGCCAAGAAGGCCAAGCTGAAGGCCTCGGGTATGGCCATCCCCTGGGGGAAGCAGGATCTCTCGGCCGCCGACATTTTCTGGGCCTCTGATGTGGAGCCATCTCCTCTCAACCTCTGTAGGTTCTCGCTTCAGCTGCCCTTCCTCCCTGTGGGCCCTGGAGCCCCTCCCTGGGGGGTCATGGCCCCCTCCCTACTCCCTCCCTGTTGTCGTAGGGAGTAGACAGGGGCCCTTGGCAGTGGGCCGGCTCAACCCAGAGATTTTCTTGGCAGTGGGCTGCTGGTACCTCTCTCTTGGTCTTAGCCTCTATCACCATGACCCTGCCTGAGAACGAAGGCCAAGGGGAAGGTCCCACCTTTTGGTGTGGAAGGTGCCCTGGGTCTGAAAAGCATATGGCACCTAGGTTGGCTGTGTCCTGTCTCCTGCCCTGTCCTTGTTGGGACCCACAAAGCTATGGAGTATTGGTACTGCCCTATACCAGGACAAAGGTCCTATTAGCCTCTGGTGCCTCTCCCTCCCCTACCTTGCCTCTACCCAGTGTTTGACCCCACCTACCAGCTCCCTCACTTGCACCTGCCTTCCACTACTACCCTAGCTTATGGATACATTGCTGCCCATACCTAGCTGGCCAGGATACTCCTGCAGGTAACTATCCTGATGGTGCCCACAATTTTAACTGTCCCTTTTCTTCCTGCTACAGCTTCAGGTCCAGAGCCAACAAGAGACATCCGTTGCGAGTTTTGTGGTGAGTTCTTTGAGAACCGAAAGGGCCTCTCCAGCCACGCGCGCTCCCACCTCCGCCAGATGGGTGTGACTGAGTGGTCTGTGAACGGGTCACCCATTGACACACTGCGGGAGATCCTGAAGAGACGGACCCAATCCAGGCCAGGTGGACACCTCCACCCACCAGGGCCTAGCCCCAAAGCCCTAGCCAAGGTGGTGGGTAGCGGAGGTCCTGGCAGCTCACTAGAAGCCCGCAGTCCCTCGGATCGTCACATTTCACCCCTGGCCAAGAAGTTGCCACCGCCACCGGGCAGTCCCCTGGGCCACTCATCAACTGCTTCTCCTCCTCCCACGGCCCGGAAGATGTTCTCAGGCCTTGCTACTCCTTCCTTGCCCAAGAAACTGAAACCTGAACAAATGAGAGTAGAGATCAAGCGGGAGATGTTGCCAGGGGCCCTGCATGGGGAGCCACACCCTTCTGAGGGTCCCTGGGGCACACCTCGAGAAGATATGGCACCTTTGAACCTGTGTAAGTGTGACCGACCCTGTGTAGCGCAGGTAGACCGATTGGCTGGATCCCCTCCCTATACCCCCTTAGGAGTATTTATAGATCACAGGACTGGAATGAAGATACTTAAGTCCAGAGGACATAGAACTTGCTGCCGTTTGTTATTTGTGCAGAAGAGGCAGAATCATGTAATTAATGTCCTCCTTGGCCAATTGGTAGTGGCCTCCAACTAGATTCCTAGGGAGAATAGTTGCAAAGATCCATTAGTAATACCTGCCACTGGCTGGAATAAAGGGATGGCATTCAATGTTTGAACTGTGTCTGATATTCCTGGCTATTTGGTACTTGGCATTTGGAATCACAGTCAAGATCTCTATATCACAATAATGTGGTAGTGATTTGGGCAAGTTTCCTCATTTGGAAGATGGAGATCAGTATAATCCCCTGCCTTGTGTCTATATAATTGAGAATTAAGTACGATAAAGCACTTAGCATGGTGCCTGGTTGCAAAAAGGTCCTTGTATATCATAATTGCTATCATGTCACTGTTACTAGTTTCCCTGGCACTCTGTCACAATATTTTATTCTTCTTGGGTTCATTATAAGCAGACAGGTGTGACTGAGGCATCATTCTAGAGCACATATGCCAGCTCCCTGCCACGTGCTCTGAACCCTTCTGATTTTAGTCCCTACCACCTACATTGGGAGATGGGGTTTTCATCTCCATCTTGCAGAGAAGGAAACAGGCTCAGAGAGAGGAAGTAGCTTGCCCAGCCTCATTCAGGGAGACCTGTGAAGCCAGCTAAAATTTGAGGTAATATGACAGATAGGAGGGCTGGATATATGAAGTGCCTCTGGTGGCCCAGATGAAGTAACAGTTCAGTGGAGTCTGGAGGGAGGGGCTGGCACTGTCTTGGGCTTTGAGCTTAGAGGCTTCCTGCCCATAGCCACTCCCTCCTTCTCTTTCCCCCACCGTGGACCCCTTGCAGCATCCAGGGCAGAGCCAGTACGTGACATACGTTGCGAGTTCTGTGGTGAGTTCTTCGAGAACCGCAAGGGCCTTTCCAGCCACGCTCGCTCCCACCTGCGCCAGATGGGTGTGACTAAGTGGTCTGTCAATGGCTCACCCATTGACACACTTCGAGAGATCCTGAAGAAGAAGTCCAAGCTGTGCCTCATCAAGAAAGAGCCTCCAGCTGGAGACCTGGCTCCTGCTCTGGCTGAGGATGGCTCCCCGACGGCAGCGCCTGGGGCTATGCATTCCCTACTGCCTCTGTCACCCCTGGCTAGCCGGCCTGGAAAACCAGGAGCTGGGCCGGCCCAGGTTCCCCGGGAGCTCAGCCTGTCGCCCATCACAGGGGCTAAGCCTTCTACCACCAGCTTCCTGGGCCCAGTGGCAACCAAACGGCCCCTACAGGAGGACCGCTTCCTCCCAGCAGAGGTCAAGGCCAAGACCTACATCCAGACTGAACTGCCCTTCAAGGCAAAGACTCTCCACGAGAAGACCTCCCACTCCTGTAAGCAGTGGGTGGTAGGGTCTTGGGATGGCATTTGTTAGGGCAAGCAGGGCCCCTGAGGCAAGGTCCCTGTGGGAGGTGGGATTAGCTCCTGACTTGCTTAGGCCACCTGGGTATGCCTACACTCTTAGAACAAGCAACCTCCTCTGTCTGTAGCCACCGAGGCCTGCTGTGAGCTCTGTGGCCTTTACTTTGAAAACCGCAAAGCCCTAGCCAGCCATGCGAGGGCACACCTTCGGCAGTTCGGTGTGACAGAGTGGTGTGTCAACGGCTCTCCCATCGAGACGCTGAGTGAGTGGATCAAACACCGGCCCCAGAAAGTGGGTGCCTACCAAAGCTGCATCCAGAGTGGCCGCCCCTTTACCAAGAAGTTCCGCAGTGCTGGCCATGGCCGTGACAGTGACAAACGGCCACCCCTGGGGCTGGCACCTGGGGGCCTGTCCCTGGTTGGCCGAAGTGCTGGGGGGGAACCGGGGCCTGAGGCTGGCAGGGCAGCTGACAGTGGTGAACGGCCTCTGGCAACCAGACCACCCGGGACCGTGAAGTCAGAGGAGCACCAACGGCAAAATATCAACAGTGAGTACTGGTGGAGAAGGGACGGGAGGGCAGTAGGCACCTTCTAGGGCTCACCCAACCACTACATCTCAGTTGCTTAATCCCCTTCCCTTATCAATATGCCATTCTACCTGTACGTATGGTGTCCAGTCTTGAATCCCCAAAACCCCTGTCTCCTTATGCTCACTGAAAGCAGGAGTATCTCCAGGGCCCTAGCCTTCCTGTTCATCAAGTATCTCTGTCTCTGCTTTAGAATTTGAACGTAGACAAGCCCGCCCACCAGATGCCTCTGCAGCTCGGGGTGGTGAGGATGCCAATGACCTGCAACAGAAGCTGGAAGAGGTGCGGCAACCCCCACCCCGGGTCCGGCCAGTCCCCTCCCTGGTGCCTCGCCCCCCCCAGACATCACTGGTCAAGTTTGTGGGCAACATCTATACCCTCAAGTGCAGGTATGTAGTTCTGGGCCTTGGCTATCTGAAACCTGGAAATGTGACAGTCTCTGTTAGGTTGGGAGGTGGGGGTCCCATGGGCTATTTTGGGGTATTGCAGCCAAGGTTAAGGGCTTCTCACTCACAGTGTAACTTACCACCCTGATACACTGAGCTTTGTAGCCAGCCAGACCTGGGTTCAGTCCTAACTCACTTCACAGCTTGGTGACCTCAGGCAAGAGCTTACCTGCTCTCTGCCTCCATTTTTCCACCTTTAAAAAGAGTTCAGCTTGGTGTAGTGATACACACCTTTAATTCCAGGACTCAGGAAGCACAAGGCAGGCAAAACTTTGAGTTCAAGGTCAGCTTGGTCTACTAGGGAGTTCCAGGACCACTAGGGCTACGAGGTAAAACCCTTTCTTTAAAAAAAATATAGACACCAGCAAATAGGGACTTTTAAGACCTGAAGTAATCCAACTCAGTCTGTATAATACAGGCCAAATCAAAAGTAGCATCCAAACTGAGAGTGATGATTCAGGCCTATCAGCCTAGCACTTGGGAGGCTAAGACAAGAAGATTGTTACCAGTGTAAATCCAGCTGGAATACATAGTTTTGGGCCAGCATGAGCTACAAAGGTAGAGATCATGTCTCCCAAAAAAGACAAAGGATAAAGATTTAATTTCAGCCCAACTCTCTGAAGCCACAGAGCTCAAGCTCCTATGTTCATTGGAGACCTAGCTTAAGGCTACCATAAGGGGAGGAAGGATGGTTCTTGTGAGAGTTAGACTTTGTTTCCCTGTGCCCACCACCATCTCAGAGCATATACCTCAGGTGGCATGCTCTTGGAGAACACCCTGCTTGCCTGCCATTAAAGACTTCATGCCCAGCAGACTCTGCCAGTACTTCACAATAGAAGAGGTAACTGTCCATTAGGAGACACTGCTTCCCTTGAGTCCTGGTCTTGACATATCTACACTGAGCAGTGGTAAATATGCCTAAGCCCTTGGATTGGACTACACTTCTGCCTGTCTTTGAAGCATTGGCCACTTCCTTTCTCTTTTTTTCTCAGGTTCTGTGAAGTGGAATTCCAGGGCCCACTCTCCATCCAGGAAGAGTGGGTGCGGCATTTACAGCGGCACATCCTGGAGATGAACTTCTCCAAAGCAGACCCTCTGCCCGAGGAGCCCCAGGCCCCACAGGCACAGACAGCAGCTGTAGAGGCGCCCTAACATAACATGCATTCCAGATCCCCTCTTGTGCCACCTGTCACCTCCTGTTTCTCCTCTGTGTCCTTTCCCATTTCCCTCTTTCTTTTCTGTTTCCAAAGGAGCAAGCCAAAACCTCAAACCGGCGCCCTTTGGGGGCCGGGCACACTACATCCTGGGCGCCGGAAGCCAGCTAGCCACCTTCCCTCAGCCTGAGGACTCTGGGGCCACAAGGGTACCCTCTTTGAGCCTACCTGGTTGGTCCAGCAGGGGCAGTAGCCAGGCCTTTGGTGGTGGCCAATCTGGTTACAGGGGAGAACAGCACTTCCCTGTGTCTAGCAACCAGGCAGGGCTATGTCTGCCATCCGTGGCCATTTGCAAAGACCCCAAAGACCCCTGTTCCCTTTTGCCCCCATGAATATCTATTCTCACTCATGCACAGGCAACCATAACACACCCGCGCACCTCGTGAGACCTGGGATCTGCCCTAGCCCCCACAGTTCCCAAGTCAAACAACCACATCATGCCACGGTGCTTGCTCAGGGGAATCCACGCTCCCTCTGCTAACCTACTAGGGCATGGGAACCCCAACTGAGCCCACAATGCCACGGAAATTCTTGTTGGCTGCCCCCCCAAAAGGGGCCTTCCTAGTTTGGAAGAGTTCAGAGCTGACAGCTGCCTCCTGCCATGACAGAGCCTCAGGGGCTCCAGGGCTGGGAGGGTAGAGTGAGGGGTGTCCTCTCCCACCCCTGCCACCCTCCCCCTTTTCACTGTTGCTTTCTATGTATAGCTCCCTAGATCTTTCACTTTTTTAAAAAAAAAAAAATGTGTTTTGTGTAGAGAATAAGGAACATGGATCTTTTTATTTTCCAATCCTGGGCCAGCTAGATACCGGGAGCTAATTGACCTTTTAACCTTTTTCAGTGGCCATCTTTTGGTTATCAATGTACATAGAAATATGTAAATTAGATTAAATTTCTCTTCTGGAAACACCCCAGGGCAGGCAGCCAGTGTGTGTTTTTCTGTCAAGTGGACAGGCTGGCATTGGCTGATAGTGGGGCTGGGGATCAGGGTTATGCCTGGCCAGAGTCCCTGGGTTTCCCTGCTGGACACTGAATTGACCAGACACGACTGGGGATAAATCCAAGTTCTCTGCTGTTGGCCCATGGTACTGTGGGTGGTGAGGGGCTCTGGTTACCTGGGAAAGTGGCTCCCCTGAGTGGGAGGAACCAGGGCTCTGGTTGGCTGGTCTGGGAAGGGAGCCAAGACAAAAGGGCTGGTTGGCTTTAACCAGCAGCAATAACATCTTCTGGCACTGGTGCTATTACCAGGAAAGGAACTCCTTGTGGGTGTTGGGTAGAAGCACACATCTGCTAGCGCTTTGGGTGGGAATGAGATTGCAGAGTTGGGACTCTTCTGTCTTTAAGATAGGACTTTCAATGCAGTGCTGGGACCCTATCCCAGGTCTTGAACATATCACACAAGTGTTATGCCACTTGTGTTACCTCCCTAGATCCAAGGTAAACGTCAAGAAGAGACATGAACCCAAATAGCAAGGGGGAAAGGAGCTTTGTTTTTGTTTTAATAATTTATTTGGTTTTTCAAGGCATGGTTTGTGTAGCCCTGGCTGACCTGAAACTAGCTCTATAGACTAGGCTGGCTTTGACTCAGAGATCTGAATACTGAGATTAAAGACGTGTGCCACCACTACCTGGCCTTATTTAAACTTCTAAAATTTTTCTTTCTTTTCTTTCTTCCTTTGTGTGTGTGTGTGTGTGTGTGTGTTTGTTTTTTGAGACAGCCGTGGATGTCCTGGAACTCACTTTGTAATCCAGGCTGGCATACAGAAATCTGCCTGCCCCTGCCTCCTAAGGGACTAAAGGCCTGCGCTACCAGGCCTGGCTTCTTGATCATCTAATATTCATTGAATAGTTCTGAGGTGATAAGATTCTGTTGGCTCCTACTTTTTTATCCCGTGTGTCTTTTTCAGTTCATCATTTTCACTAACTAGCCAAGTGAGAATGATGTCATGGGGTGTGGACAGCAGTAAGCCCCTACCCAACCCTTTTTTTCCCCAGCCTTTCCTACTGTGCCTCTCTGCTAGGGGAGGAAGGTTTAACAGGCTGCTGTGTCAACCTTGCAGGGGTGGTGTATTTGATCCAGGTGTGTTCTTTTATTTGGTGGCTGGTCTCCTCATCCACTGTCATTGGTCATATACAAGACTGGGAAAAGTGGGATTTCTTATAGTAAGAACTGACCCAAATATGTTTCTTTAGCACTTGTGGGAGTGGAAAGGTGGGGTGGTTAAGACAGGGTTTCTCTATGTAGCTCTGGCTGTCCTGGAACTATCTACTAGGCTGGCCTTCAACTCAGTGATCTGCCTGCTTCTGCCTCCTGAGTGCTGGGATTAAAGGCATATGCCACTACCACCTGGCTAAAATCAATTTTTTAAATATAAAAGCAATAGAGTGGATTTTGAAAGATCCAATGACAGTAACATGGGAAGGCCTTCCTACCCACTATGACACTGATGGCTGTCTTTGTGCATAGTTAAAATGGAAAGGTTTTCTCTTCTTTCTTTTCTTTTCCAGGACAGGGTTTCTCTGTGTAACAGCCCTAACTTTCCTGGAACTAGCTCTTGTAGAACAGTCTAGCCTCGAACTCATAAGAGATCCACCTGCCTCTGCCTCCCAAATGATAGGATTAAAGGTGTGCACCACCACCATGCAGCGGAAAGGTTTTCTTTATCCATTACAGTACACTGATAGAGTTGTCTTTCTGCAAGGTTTACCTACCATTCTTACAACGGGGACCTTTTCCTAAAACTCACGAATATAACAAACGTTTGCTTAAATGACTCTGTAGTCTTAAAAGAAGCAGCCGTTAGCCTTTGAATGGCTTGAGCTCAACCCACGAGGACATCAGAAATTAAAACCCTGGGTGACATGATGGCTATGACAAATGCCACAAAGTCAACTACAAGATTTAGAGGAGATATCATGGGGCCTTACTTTATTTGGATGCCAGTGAGTGGTACCCCAAAGTAGTAATAGAACATAAAGCAGACCTCTACTGCATGTTCTGAGTTCACATGCAGAGTGTACTGCAAGTGGCTTTCTTCCATGGGACAACAAGGTCTGCAAAAGTAAGTTTGGAGAGGGAGTGTTATCCAGACATATCCTCGATCAGTGGTAAAAATAAGCTCTTGTTAATCATAGCAACTATACTTCTCTACCCCCATTCCCCATCTAAATTTTGGATAAGCACATTTTTGGCTATCCTATCAACTGTATTTCAGCATGTTTCTTTGAAGGATCTGGACTTTTAAAGAATGCTATTAGTACTACCCCTCAAGAAACTGGTAACAAGGACTGAGAGATGGCTCAGTGGCAAAGAGGACCTGGGTTTGGTTCCCATTGCCCACATGGCAGCTCTCGCCAGTAACTCCGATCCAGGATATCCAACACCCTCTTCTGACCAGCTCAAGCATTAGGCATGCATGTAGTTGCATGACATTCAAGTGATACATACATAAACCTAAAAAAAATACAGCACCCTACTTCAAAATTTCCCCAAATCCAAAAGGGTTCATGAATCAGAAGCACAACTTGATGCAGTTTCCCAAATGTTAAGTTTTATTTACAGTGCACTCCCCCCCCCCCCCTAGGAATTATGAGATGTCTCATGGTGACTTTTAACACAGCCAGGCATGGTACTTAGAACAAGGCTGGTGGTTACTAGGCTGTGTTTTTTGTTTTATGGAACTGAGCCCAGGTTCTCGTGTGAAGTATTTGTAATAATACGTGATACATCTAAATAATATTGCATACATAACAAATACCATACACAAACTTTTATCTGAACAATTTTTTGAGACAAAGGTGATCCTGGCTAGCCATAAATTTGCTATGTAAACTAAGCTGTGCTTGCACTCACAGAGATCTGCTTTCCTCTGAGTGCTCAATTTAAAAGAATGTGTTACCAAGCCCAAATATTAATTTTTGAAACAAGGTCTTATACTCACAGTGTTCCTCCAGGCTCAGTCTCCCCAAGTGCTGAGATTACAGGTGTGAGCCACTATGACCAGGTTTTGTCTTTTAAAATGCATCTTCTCTTCTGGGGTGTTGGGGAATCTCACACAGGTCTTCCATACATGCTAGCATAAAGTGCTCTACCGCCGAGCTACATCCTTAACCCTTACAAATACTTAATTGTTAGTGTAATGCTTAATGAGAAAATATTTACTTCGTGAAACTGGCCCCAGCTCTTTTTCACCTCTGTGAAACAGGGTTTTAATGTAACCTAGAGTGCCTTAGAACTCATAACATAATTTGACCTCAAACTCGAGACCATTCTCTGCCTCAGCCCCCTGTGTTTTGGAATTAAACCACCTACTACACGTGACCAGGTTCATTTATTTAAACATTATGTAATTTTTGTCAGGACCTTGTTTGGCAGTTAGATCTCAATTTTCTCATTTTAGCGTGGCTTTGCCATTCTCGTTTTAGAACTGAAGGCCAAATGAATACATGAACGGATTCCGGAGCATTTCAGTGGCGGGAGTCCAGCGACACGCACCCGGGCGCCCGCCACGCGTGGGCTCGGGCCGCTGGGTTGCACGTAGCCCCTCCCCTCCGAACTCTACCTGTCCGTCGGCTCCGCTTGGCCTATCAGCTCAGGTTTTGATTAACAGGAGGCGGGGTCGGGGCGGGGCCATCAGGGGTTGGCAGTGTCTCCAACCACTGTTGCGAAGAGGTGTAAAAATAGACAGCTCAGCAGCCCAGTGGACGTGAAGTCCGAGGCTGACACGAGCCAGTGAGATCAGGGGGCGGGGCCTGGCGTGTGTGGAAGAGGCCCCCAGAGATTGTTGTGGCGTCAGACGCGCAGAGTAGCGGTGTCGGTCCACGGCTTGGGTGTTCGCTGTCGCCATGAGCTACACAGGTAGGCCCAGCAGAGTGAAGGGGGCGCTCCGAACCGGAGAGGGACAAGGACGGACCGAGTCACGCCTGGGTCGCCCACGCCTCCCGTGGTTCGCGGTCACTGCCCTCTCCGGTCACAAAATGGCGCCTCAGGCCCTTCGCTTCGGGGTCGCATCCCTCAAACCCCGGCTGCCTGTGACCTCAGCAGGGCATCCCGGTCTCCCGGCTGCTGGAAGCCATGCTTGTCTTCTGTGACCATAGGCCCCGAGCCCCGGCGTTAGGTCCCAGCTCCCACCGCCTACGTCCCTGGCTAGTGCCCCCACGGACCTCCAGGTCCTAAGACATAGCTTCAGTCCGTTGTCTCGGCTGCTATCGCCATTGCCTCCCGCGCACTGTTTCGGTGCTAAATGTCGCGGATCCTTACCCAACGCCACTCCCCTCTTCATCTGGTCCAAAGCTGGGAGAAGCGCCAGGCCCCAGGGGGATGATCAGTAAATAAATGAAGGATCTGAGCTATGCAGAGAGCTTTAGGGACCGAACGTGAACCTTGGCGAGGAATTACTATTTTCCACATCAATTCCTTCAACTCACCGAGAAAGTGATGAGTAGGTACTGGGAATACTGACCGAAAATTTCTTAAGCAGCTTATGGGCGAGGGCAGACGTTAGTAGGCTCATAAATGAGTGCACGCTGTATTCCTGGGCCCTGGGTATCCTGAAGGGATTCAGTTTCGAGGCCTCCGGGAAGAGGTGAGGTTTAAGAAGAGATGTAAGCAGAATAAGAATAGCTGGCCCAACAACGTCCTGTACTGGAACCGCCTACCTCCTTAGATCTTGCTAGGAAGATGAGTGGTATCTGAGCAAAGAGGAAGGTGGGTGATGTGCAGGATGAGGAGGTGTGGAATATGCGTAAGTGACTGTCAATCATTCCTGGGTAAGTTGCCAAGGCTGCCTGGGTATGCCTTGGCAGTGACCCATGAAACTTATCAGTCAGCACCTTAAAGCCATAGACAGCGCCTCACACTTCGCTGGAGGTATTTCAGGCTTGAATTTATGTGGTTGCTGGGTAACCCACATTCTGCTAGGAATATTCAAGGCTTTGAATGAACCTAAGCAACGGGCTTTTGTATAATCCCCTTATGCTAGTCCTTGGTTAAGAGCTCGCCAAGAACCTTGGGTTTTCTAACAACCAACCCCTAGGCCAGTGGTTCTCATTCAGGGTGAATCTGTCTGCCTCCTACCTCCCAGGGGAACATTTGACAATGTCTACAGTCCTGTTTTGTTGTCTCATCTTAGCATGTGGAGAGGGCTGGAATGCAGTGCTACTGACATCTAGTGGATAAAGGGTAAGACTGCTTGCTGTTCTGTGTCCTGAAGTGCCTACTGTGGCTTCCACCACTTTTTTTTTTATACTAAGCAGCTGAGGTTATGTAGGAGCGTTGGGCAGTTTTGCAGCGATATTGGAAAGGAAAATCATTAAGTAGAACCAATGCTTAATGTCTCTAGAATTAAGATGTAATTCTCTTCACCAGGTCTGTCCAAGACTTGAAAATAGTTCTGCATTTAGAAGCAGGGCTATTGAAGAACAAGAGGATGAATGATTGTATCTTATGGGATAGCTTGATAATGGAGCATTTGTTTTTACAGATGAGGAAACCGAATTGGTTCACTAATGGTGAAGTTTGAATTTCAGCTTCAGATCTTGTAGGCTCTAATCCTGGGTTTTGTGGGCACTGAAGTAGCCAAGCTAATGAGATAATGGTTAGTTTCCCTTTCCTCTGGCTAAACTAAAAAGCCAGCTGTAACTTTATACTATGGTTCTTTCCCTTTAAAGATGCTAACCAGGAAGCTGGTCTTTGTGTCTTAGAATCCCAGCACCTGAGAGTTAGGAATATAAGTTCAAGACTGGCCTGGGTGACATTAGCTGTTTCAAAAAACAAAAACCCAAAAAAGGTTACTAAATTCAAAGACGTTTTAAGACACTTTTGTTAAGAGCCTTACATTATAGCTTGGACTGACTTCCCATCT